AGTTACCACTTATTAGGTTCTTCCTATGTGCCAAATACCTCACAATTCTACGTGGTAGTTAATATTGTCTATTTTCATAATTTAGGGAAACAAAGCTCAGAGAGATTAAGTAATGGCCAAAGTCACACAGCTAGACAGTGCCAGAGCCAGGATTTTATCAGTGTTGACTCTGAAGTCTTATGTTTTCCCTAATTAAGCTATGGTGTTAAAGAGGGAAAAAAATTACTCTTCCACATATCACAGTATACTTACCTTTTCCTTTCAAGCCTTTTTCCCCAGAGTCCTTTGTTTCTTGTGACATGGGACCTCATTTATCTGTTGTACTTCCTTTTCCTTTTGCTATCAATTTAGGAACACACTCGCTTCAGAACATCCTCTCATGGCAGGTGGAAAACTTGTCAAAATCCCAAGTAGAGTAGAATTACCAAATTTAAAAGTAAAGAAACACTGCACAATCCATCTCTGAAAGAATACACAAGAAACTGCTAACAGTACCTGTTAGAGGCAAACCTTACTCTGTGTGTGCGTGTGCACGTGCCTGTGCATGTGTGTATATATAATCTTGCATGGCTTGACTTTTTTAAACACTATGTTCATGTATTACCTATTTTAAAGAGATGATTATTCAGAATAATACCTATTAACAAAGGCTTCTTGGTTACTTTGTATCTTGTGTCAGTTGATGCTCAGGGCTTTGGGCTCTGGTTGTATCCTAGCTTTTGCCCTCCTAGGAAAAGCTAGTTGATGTGACCACTTCTCAGTAGCTGAAAAACACTACCACCTTATCTTTGTAAACATGGCCAGGGGATGCCATAGCCCCATCATTCCACTTTCTAAATATCCTCAATGTGAGCTTTACACAGTAGTACCAACTCAGCATCCATAGAGCATTCAGTTTTGTGGCTGCCTCATCTATCGGGAATAAATCACTTCCTGGTAATTATCGTGTTGACACTGTATTTTGAAAACTCCCTCAGGAATATAGTTCACTTTTCCAGTCTTGTTCATTTAAAAATAAAATGGGAAAAAAGTGGGCTATTAATATAAAACAATCTTTTTTTATTTAAATTACTATTTATTGGTAGTACATTTCATTTAAATAACTAATCAGCTACTCTCTTTCCCAAAGACCTATCTTAACAAGTGAAGCTGAAGTATTTAGAGATATATTGGTCTATCATGTGTTGATCACAAATAGGTATATTTTATTCCTTCACAGAAGGGTTTTCCAAATGCATTCTATGGGAGAGACATAAAAATTGGTTGGCGTGGATTTGTTGAGTGAATATAAGCCAACTCATGATGCTAACCTAAAAAACACATCACTGCAGCAAAAATAAATCTTTGAGCTTGTGGCTCCAGTGGATCCGTTTTTCTCGTCAGATAAAAGAATGAAGCAGTGATAGCCGTGATAAAATGCACTTCTTTGTCTTTCCTTGGAACTGGTAGCTCCAGTTCCTGAAGTTCTCTTGTGTCTATTCAACGTAATTAACTTCCTCCTTTAATCTTGGATGATGAATGGCAGCTTAATCACAGGTTACCCAAATGGGCACCATTTCTTTATGGTACTTGACTTCAATTCCTTTTCCTTTTGCCACCCTAGGCCTATTGACATCCATGGTTCATGATTTTTTGTTTCTTTCAAATGCAAAGAAGGCTATGGGGTGGGATCCTTTGAGATTAACTCAAACTCATTGCATATCAGAGGAAAAGTATGTTCACCTCTAAGAATTGAGGGGCACAGACAATAAAATGAGTTCCTTCATTTATTTATTGGTAATGAAAACAATCATCTCCTTCCAGCTCCTCTCTCAGCTCATAATTAATGTGCTCTTTACAGCTAAGAGGGCTTCTTTTGAACGTTCTTTCCTAGCGATGGGAGATGATTTTCTCCTTCCTTCTCCTTACTCTCCCCCAAATCTAGAGTGTTTCTTTCCACCAATTCAGACCAACTCTACTTCAGAAATTCTTGTCAGAGAAGTAGGCTGACACTCTGTCAGTGCTCCTCTGTATATAGTGCTGTAGTAAGTGCTAAATGGCCATACCAGAACAATATGCTTTGTGATTAATTTATTATAGAAAAAGGTGGAGGAGCTCTCTCCTATTTAAAGCTAATCTTTGTGTCTGAACTTTGATGCCTATCCTCTTTCAGCTTTCTAGGAACCCACACATCAATTATGTCTATTTTCTTCTGGTTACTCAGTTAAATCCTTATCAACTGAATCCTTTCCCAACATCATTTCACTATGCTCTATTCTGACCCCATTTAATCCAAACGAAGCAAAACAAAACCCACTTTTGACCTATACTTCCTTTACTGCCTTATCCCTTTTTTCACCTACAAAATCAAAACTTATTTTGCACTTCTATCTCCGTTTCCTCACCTCTGCTTTATTCTAGCCTCTGCTATCACTACCCCAAATAATTGTGGATAAGGTGACTGAAGCCTTCCCACAGCACTGAATCCCAAGACATTTTTTCCTGTTCTCATTTTGCTTGATGAGTAAGTACTGATCCTAGTAAGGACTTGACACTGTGGAATACTCCCTACTTCCTTCCAGAAGCACTGTTGGCTTTCCTTCATGTGCTCTTAACTCCCTTGCTTCTCCTTCTTGGTCTCCTTGCAAGTTCATTTTCCTCTACAGGGCATTCAATGTTGTAGTCCCTCAAGACTTGTTTCTAGGCCTTCTTCTCTTCTCACTCTAAACTTGGTCCTAGCAATCTCAACCAAACCAGCAGCTTCATTTATCCTGACAACTCCCAAGAGAATATTTCTAGGATAGACTTCTCTGGCTTAACACAAAATGGGGTTGATTTGCTTCCAACGTATCTATTTTGGATTCTAAACTTTCCAAGGAATGAAAAGTCATCCCCATCCACCCCTCCCAACTCCAAATAACAATAAGATAACAGAAAACACTGTCCCTCTGTCTAATCTAAGCCTCGAATCCTGTTGATTCTACCTCCTAAAAAATCTCTCATATTTTCCTTCTTCTCTTTATCTCCATTGTCACCATCCTAGTCAAAGTCTCTCCACGGGGCTGGCCTGGTAGTGTGGTAGTTAAGTGCACGCACTCTGCTTCAGTGGCCCAGGGTTCACAGGTTTGGATCCCAGGCACGCACCGACGCACCACTTGTCAAGCCATGCTGTGGCAGTGTCCCATATAAAGTAGAGGAAGATGGGCACGGATGTTAGCCCAGGGCCCATCTTCCTCAGCAAAAAAGAGGAGGATTGGCATTGGATGTTAGCCCAGGGCCCATCTTCCTCAGCAAAAAAGAGGAGGATTGGCATCGGATGTTAGCTCAGGGCTACTCTTCCTCACCGAAAGAAAAGATTAAAAAAAAAAAGTCTCTCGATGTAAATTTTTTGTCCAAGAGTCTTTTTATTTCCATAATAAAAGTTTAACTAGCACTAAAGAGGGCTATAGTTATTTATTTTAATAATATTTATTAACACAACTTTTAAAACCTGGTATTCCTATAAGTCATTAGTTTCAATTTACAAAACTTGCTATTCTCTATATAATCTAGACATATATAAATCTAACCATGACTTTGATATTTAGTCCGTAAGCCTATTATATCCTTGAATGCACACGGCATACATAGCACAGTGCCTGAAACACAAAAAGCACTTAATAAATGTTAGATGAATAAATAATTGTTAAAAGTGAAATTAGTTTCTTTTCTCCCTTATATTCTCCCAACTTTCGCTAAGTAAAAATTAAAGTTTTCCATTTTAATACTTAGGCATTACTCCTTATCATAATCTGCAAGGTTTCAGTCTATGTATTTAGGTTTCTAATCCATTCAGATTTACACATTATGAATGATGGCTTTGGCTATTAGCAAGGAAAGAGTAAATATGGGCAGAATCCCCAACATGTCCACAAATTGTGATTTATAGTGATAATATGTTATGACAGGCTAATCTATTTTCCTTCTTGAAAGGGAGATTTAAGAAAAAAGAAATCTCTAGGATTCCTAAATCTTGCAGATGAGGAAGTCCCTTTCTCTATGATACTCCAGGTCCACAAAGCCAAGCCAATCAGATTTTTTCCCTGTTCTTTGCTTTTTTTGGTGGGGAAGGATTTTCTGTGAAATACTGAACTTTCCTTTCCCTAAAAGTAGGCCAGAGTAAACAACTCAAACTTTAAACGCAATAATTTTGAATACTTCAAAACAACTAGTCTGAATGTCATGGTGTTTTTTTCCTTCTTTTAAGTCCTTATCAGTTTAAGATGAATACTGAAAGGGTGATTGCCATGATTTTGGGGGTTTGCTTTAAAATATTCCAGCAAAGAAAAAAATGTTTGGGGGTGGTGGTGATGGCAATAGATGAAATAAGATTGAAAAATGCTGATAATTTCTGAAATTCTGTAAGGTCATTATACTTTTGAGATTTTCCACAATGAAAAGTTTAAAAATTTTAGTTTTTTAAAATTTTTTACTCAGAACTCCCTTTTGCCTATAAATCTGAGACGCATCCTGGCCACGGGAGAAGGAAAACTGCAAAACCAGTCCTTTTGAAACCTCTGCCTCCCCACTCGCGAACACACTAACTCATTAGGGAAGGCGTTATCTTTGTCCTACACACTATCAGCATATACTAAGTGCCCATATATTTCATTTTAAAACAAACTGCACATATTTCAAGCTTGCGGGGTACTAAACCTCCCCCGATATTATCCCAATCTCTTTATAACCAGAGTATCACAATTCCTTCCGGAAACAGCCCCTCTGCCCCTCCCGTCCCGCGTTTCGGGGGACGGTGCGGGGCGTCAGTAGACCGGCGTTCCAGATCTCCCCCGTAGAGCGGGAAGGCCCTCGCCTCGTCCTCTCCGGGCCTCAGTTTCCACCTAGGGCAAGAACACCGGGAGGTCGTACCGGGCCGCGCCGCCCCTCCCGGCCCGCAGGCAGCCCCGCCCCGAGGGTGGAGACCGGGCGGAGCAGCGCGCTCTCCTCCGCCTCCTCCCGACTCACCACCGCCCCCAGTGTCGCCGGCGCATGTGCCCAGCACCCCCTCCCCGGCCCTGGATTCCACTTCCTCTCCGCTCGCGCTGCAGCAGCAGCCGCCTCCAGGCCCTGCGCCGCCTCCGGAGTCCATGGCCGGGACGCGCTGGGTGCTCGGGGCGCTGCTCCGGGGCTGCGGCTGCAACTGCAGCAGCTGCCGGCGCACCGGTGCCGCCTGCCTGCCCCTCTGCTCGGCCGCCGGCTCCTTCCCCTCGGGCGTCTCGGGCCGTCGCCGCCTGCTGCTGCTGCTCGGGGCCGCCGCCTCTCAGACGCGGGGCCTCCAGACCGGGCTTGCGCCCGCCGGGAGACTGGCAGGGCCTCCCCCCGCAGCCACCTCCGCCGCTGCCGCGGCCGCCGCCTCTTACCCGGCCCTGCGCGCCCCTCTGTTGCCGCAGT